CATATCGGCTCATAGAGAGGGTGCTCTCTACTCGGTATCAAAAAAAAGATTCGACGGGAAGGTTCTGATGGTGTGTAAGAGCCTGTCTGAACTTTGAGTGCGAACGGTTTGTTACGTAAGCCGTTGTGTAACACCTTGTCGAATGCTTTTGTGACTCTGAAGAACAGAGCACCTATACAGATAGGTGTAGAGTATGTTCTATAACGAAGTTTATCTACAACAGGTGACTCGACGTGTTCGCGAGATGGCTTGAATATTAATAATATTAAATAAAATTTAATATTATTATTATTCAAGCTTTAAATAATAATATGATGCAAAATAATAAATAAATTTGGATGGAATTAAATACAACTTGCAAACCGTTTATAAAATTCAAGGCAAAATGTTTTCCGAAACGCACAAGGAACGCAAGGTGTACGCCCCGCGGGCGATTTAAGAAAAAGGTATAAGCGATCCAGACTAATAAGACGGGAACACGCGTCCCAAACGCGATTCACGTGTTCAGACAAAAACCGGCGATGTTCTCCTCCGAAGACATCCGCGTGTGTGATGTATGCAAAGAGGGAATTGAATAAGGTGATTTCGTTCCGCGGGGCCGCTCCCGCAGGAAAAATAGGACCCGCGCGGTAATGGCGAATACAATAAATTTTCATAAACAAATCGCGTTTTGATGGCGCCGTATCGGCCCGGCGCGTGTGCCAACTCCCAATAAGGATTGATAGGGAAACAATGTTGCCGCGCTGATTGAATGTCAATTTGCGGGCTGGCAACACGCCCCGGCCTGTCGCCGCAATAATTCCGTGTAATGGCGTACACGTCGGCTTTAACGATGTGCGGATCGGCGACGCACGCCTCCGCGAACAGATCTCGCCGAAACTGAGATATTGGACTGAATACTTATGCCCCCGCTTTGGGATGATAAATGACGAGCATTGGGCGTTTGTAGCGGAAAAATTGGTAAATTTACTTTTCTTTAGGTAAAAGTGGCTAAAATAATGTATAACTACATTACTAGCAATAATTAGTTATGACAGAAGTACGTTTTATTGTTTATTTCAGATTTATTTGTTCCTGATCTTTTTTTGTTATAGGCATAAATATTTTTAAGCAATATTCCAAAATTAGTAGGTATTTTCCACTGGGCAAGAATGTGGTGAATGAGTATTTTAAAGTGCAAATAAGAATTTCATTGGCTCATACACCAGGATATGAATTCTGGTTGCTCGAGTATATTAAATAACAAGCGAGCATGAACTAGCAATGCAAGTAGCAAAAACGAGTAATTTTTTTTTAACGAAAACAAAACCGAAAAAACAAATACAGTCGAATTGAGAACCTCCTCCTTTTTTGAAGTCGGTTGAACAATGGAAATAAATATACACGTATAAAAATATGTAAGACAGTGATTTCTAAGTCAAAGACAATGGCAAATTGTTGTAGCAACTCACTGAGATTTTAAGTGCCTTCGTTAGATGCGTTGATGGATCACGTTAAGCAGTATAAATAAATATAATTATAGCATTAACCAATTAAACTGTCCACACCTGAGCTGTCGAGGCGCTCTTTTGGATATGAACAATGGAGCGACCCTACCAGTTATGTCACCAGCAGAGATCATTATTTAACTAAGCAAGGTAACTTACGACATTTTTAGTCTGGGGCAACGGAAAAAAATCTGGGTGTCGCGAAAAATTATCACAATTTGTGATATGTGAAGTGAAAAAATGGGCGACAACGTGCATACGTTATGCATGTGACGCATAATGTGATAGTCCGCCGATAGAAATGAAACATTATACTCAACTCGACTTGATCTTCAAAGTACATTAAAATGTTTCAAAAATTAATAAATGATTTGTTTGCTAAAATTAAAAAAAGGTTTCAGTCCATATTAAATCGATTATTCTGTGATGTCACCTCATTGGATTCGTTCGCACTTGGCACACATGGCACTCACGGGTTGATGGAAGCCACTGTCACGTGTGGCTGCGTGAAGGAGTTTTGACTTGCAAAGCAGCGTCGCCGAGATTTTTCAGGAGGGTGGTAATGACTGCTTGATGTGTTCCGAACCGCTCCTTGCGTGGAAACGGACTGCGTTTCACCAAGGGTTTTCAACAGAAATTTATCGTTAAATCGACACTACCCTTTGTAAAGTATGAAACAATTAACTCTGACGGTCCTACATGATATCGAGAAAACCGGCCCACATTAAATTTTACCGAAACTGGGTTCTTTTTGCAAAACTTTCTTCAATACAAAATTATTATAAATTTATGATAATAAATTTTTAACTATATATATTCAGTTGGAAACTAATAAACATCACTTCACCGTACTGTACTTGTAGAATACTAAAGCGGACTTCTCATTAAACATTCAAATGCGATTTCCTCGCGTGTGAAGGAAACAGGATTGTCACAATCCGTATTGTTACAGATCTCATAACGCGTGTAACCCTTTGACTCGTCATTTCCATACAGAGTGGAGCGCAAAACGGCGACAAAGCCGCCTCCACACTTGGCTGCCCCGCAGGAGCGCCACCTTTGATGCGCGTATGATTGCCCGCGCCCGCGACACATTGGATCTATATTGTTGTCTTTTTCAAGTTTCGTAATAAGGGATGAGGGTGTATTAAAGCCTTTTATCCGGCTCGTCACGCCGGGTCGTGGGGTTGGGAAGGGGTTTAAGGTGCGCAAACATTAGCTCTTTTACATTTTTGCAATTTCGCCGGCGACGCCCGACGTTTGTTTGCCGTTGGGCAAATCACGACGGTGTAGAATCGAGATAGATGCGCGGCAGTTACGTTTTATCGAATTAGAGCTAAAGTTAATGTATCGGAGCGCGAAGGTATTAACCACTAATCGGTGGGTATCACGAAATCTCGTCTAAAGCCAAGTCGCTCATTAAGTGAATGCTAGGCCCGAGGCCAAGTCTCACAGCCGCAGACTGCCTGCAAATCTTGGCTGCGTTCTCGAGCATTCCAGAAGATGTTGCTCGGATTAAACGACGCAGTATATTCAACAATTACAGTACATTTGCCGGCAGCCGGGTCCCGCAGGTAAGACTGCATATTTCAGGAGCGAGACAATATTAGCCGCAGCGCTCGAGTGGAAAATGAGACCGTTTTGGTGCCTAATTTACAGTACCCGTAATGTTGGGAACATATTCATTGTACTAGAGCCCAGGTACGTATCGTTTCCTGAGCAACGTCAGAACCGCTTTGAAATATATTAGCGTAGCAGTTTGTGGATTTGAATGCCGGCACAATGCACAACCTTAAGCAAATATTTGCTCAAATATTATTGTGTGTAATATAACTACGGTGCTGTTTAGCCGTTCACCTTGTTTCTATTTTAAATATTTCAGTGTTAGTTCAGGTTCCTTCTTTTAGTTCTTGGATTTGGATAAGCGTTTCTAGGAGTTCTTAGAGTACATTTTTGGTCAAACGTGATGAGCTGTAGTCGTATTAATTAACTATCTATGCAAAAAAAGTTCTTATTTAACGAATATTGATACAAATTGAAACTATGTTACGTGTAAAAATTCCGTTTAAGGATGCGATTTGTTGCATTTTAGAATAACTATACTTTAAAACAACACTTTGGTTCCAAGTTGACTTAGGTTTAGAATGTGTTTAGAATTATCTAGTGGTACATATAATATTAAAAATGTATTAATTAATTAATGCTCGTTGTCTGTACGTGGAAGATATTTGAGAAAAAATAGCATTGGGGGCCTTTATCATCGCAATAGAACTCAAAACAATGATTTTTGTCTGTTTGTCTGATTATATGTTTATCTGCTTGATTGTGCATTTGTGCGCGCTTATCACAGAAACGGCTTAACCGTTTTGGGTGTAACTTTCACTAATGTATTGTAGTTAGCTTCACTTCACTATTTTTATTTACTTTTGGCTACTTTTTAAAGCACGATATAAAATGTAGTACATGCGGGCGGAGTCGCGGGCGAAAATCGAGTTATATAATAATTGTTTCCGAAATTATTGCATCAACGAGTTGTTACACAGTCTTATTAATTAGGTACGCGCGTAGCGAAAGAAGCGATACGCGGCTGTAGCGGCGTAGGTCGTAGATCACGCGTATCAGCTGTCGCCGTCTCCCGACACTGCATCCTGCTGCAGATAGCACGCGATCTATCCCTCGCTCTTTGTTGCCAGGTAAAATGTTCCGTTATTAATGCTCCCTCCATTGTTTAATGACGAATAATTCTAGCAATTCAAAAACCAAGCAAATAACAGGAAGATGCTACGAGAATAACAGTTATGCATTAGTGAGATTTATTCTGTATGTTAAGTAACAGAGCTGTAACATATTAGTTTACGATTACTTTGCAAATCGGTAGAAATAAAGGATATTTTTTGAAATCTATTGTTCATTCGGCTTATATGTTTGTTAGGAAATATATTTCATGAAAAATATCTTATATTTTTAACTTGTACCAGCACAATTATAAAGGTGGTTTTAATAAATTGATGTAAACATATATCACCATTACCGCATCGACCCCAATATTTAGCACATTATTCTAAAAGCACGTGAGGCGGGAGGCGCTTGTAATTACATACGAAACAGTGCTCTTAGCAACTTTCCCATAAGAGCCCATTATTTACGGAGCCACCGTACCATTAAGATTCTCCACATATCTTCGAAAGGCGCGTTATGGTAATTACGGGTCGCCATTTTATCAGGCAACTCTTCGCGATTAGAACTCGCGCCCTCTCGCTCCGGTGCGCGTGGAAATAACAAGTCCGCGAACTTGCCACGCTCCTGAGGAGCGTTCCGAAATTAATTCGGATGGAAGATATCGGGACGGGGCGCGATAGCGTTCTCCTTCCGCGCCATTTATTGCTCGTGTGGTGCCGGGTATCGGTGAAGGGGTAAAGAATATCAAGATGTAACGAGCGCCAGCCGGAAGGACCGCAAATGAGCTCGCCGACTTATCAGCGTTAATGCGGGTGAGGGTTAATTTCGTCTTACATGAGCAATTCGAAGATATCGCCCCCCTTCGGCTCGTTCGCCGCGGTGGCTTCGGTATCCCCGCGAAGGTTAGATCACTAGTCGCGGCCGATTCGTGCCGCTTAAATATTCGCCAAGATTTCGTCTAGACAAAGGGAAAATATGGCGAGCGTCTGATGCATGAAATGAATGCGGTGGCGCGCAAGCATGGATGGATGGTGGGCAAATACGGCTAGAGTGTATTAGGAAATGAAATTAAGTCTCGAGTGCAATCTCGTCATTGCATGCGGTGGGAGCTCGGCGTTTATAACACAATGGCGTTGTATTCGCTTCCAGGCACCTACAAAGCGGCGTACGCTGGAGGGTACACGACTATGATGTATGGTCGGGCGGCCCCGGGCGCTCTAGATATCGCGGAGGTAAACTTGAATAGTTTGCAGACTATTTTCGTGCATGCTTTATTTTTAATAAAACCCGCTAACATCGTTTAAACAAGGGTATTAGTTGACATTTTTTACGACTACGGATGAAATATCTTGTATGCAATTCAATAATACTAAGTCCCTTTGGTCTTGAATCTTCCAGGTTCTTTATCGAAGTATTTACTTAGATGTAGAAAAGCTAAAATGATTCGTCTCTCTGAGTAGTGTAACTTCTTGTGACGGTTAGTTTTATCACTCAACAAATATGTTTTTCATATTTGCATGACTATTTACGTCATCCAAAGTTGCAAGCAAGTTAAATGTACAAGAAATTAGAGCTCAATAAATTATTTTAGTCAAATATTTCAAGAGATCTAAAAACACAGCTTTTTTATACATACTCGTGTATATGTACTTACTCGAATTTGAAAAAAATATTAAATATTCTTAAAGGTGCGTTGCGAAAAAAATATGTTATCCATCCCAAAGACCAATTATTAACTAAAAATATCCGTAGGAATTTTCAGAGGCAGCGCCGTTATGCGTAATATTGTACAGCTCGTGAATTTTTAGGCTTTGTCCGAAGCGTATACATTAGATACGCAGACGAGAAATTTCCCACGCTGAAATATTAAAGAAATCTGTAAAAGTTGGCCTCATGTAATATGCAGCGGGGGTGGTTCCGTCGGTATACGCTCCGGCGGCGCGTTGCATATTTTGCGAAAAACCACGCTCCGAAGCCAACTTCCCACACTCCGCGTCGTTTGCTTAAATTCTTACCTTTTAAAATGATTTTATGTTCAGTGTACGTTTTTGGACGCTTTTTTTTACATTCGTGAATCGTTTGAGATGTTTGCAATATTCAAAAAGTCAATTGTTTTCATGTTTGAAGATGGCAAGTGAGCTGCCTGCTCACGTGTTAAGTGATAACCGCAATCCATGGACATTTATACCACCCGTAGTGTATTATATATGTTGGTGTTACAAATACGATGCCATGCAATATCATAGTGAACATATCTACACACATTAAGCGGAAATATATATAATTTTTCAGTTTCGCATTAATTCTAGTTCAAAACTAAAGTATCGCGGGCCACTCGTATTTAGTGTTTCAACACAAACACGCAGCAAATCCAGCCGGCCGGCATAATTCAGATCTTAGAAATCCATCCTGCATGTATTTGTTTGCGCAAACGTTTGCGGTCACCGCTAGGTGCGAGCTCAAAGGGCTGGTTCACACGGACTGGATGGCGTCAAAAGGATTGACCGGGCACCGACGGGGCGGGTTGTTTAGACCGCATTCGTTTGCCCAACTATCGTGTTTCGCCCGAAGTCTGGACGACGTTAGAAGTGGTGGAAACGTTTATTTTCATAATATTCCGCCTAAATTTGCCCCTTGTCTTTACTATTATGACTATTTCATATGAGAGTTTATTTTTATTTTAGAAGAAAGTTTATCTGTTTGCAGTCGAGATTTTATCAAGAACCACGTCAAGCCAAAGCAAGGCAATATGATTTTTTTCTATTTGTAACTGAATGAGGCGTTATATTCTGTCTTACTTTGATTCTGTGGCACTAATAACTGTTAAATAAATAATGCATACTTTTTTCTACATCGAAACTTAAATTTGACTAAATAATTACAAAAACTGTTACAGTCAAAGTCCCGTAATAGAAACAAAGTTTCTTGTTTAAAATAAAGCGGATTTTCACCACATGTAAACTAAACACGATTTCTAAATGCTATTTCCATATCAGGTAGAGTTTAACGTGGATTGCAAAGCGGCTAGTTACAAGGTGCAAAGATCGGTATTTGACACCTGCAAAAGGAGTTACAGATGCTGTTTACGTGAGGGCTTTCAGCAAATACATGCAGACGTCTCTGCAGTCGCCTACCTCTATTTATACTGGACGATGCTGTGTACAATTAGCCGTCGATGTCACACCTACAGACCAAATACTGCACTGCAGAGTAAAGATGTACCAGACAATATTTGCCTCTAAATGTTTTAATCAATTTTAAACTTAAGCCAGATTTTTGAAACGTTCGATTCTGTTTGAGTCTGTCCCGTAACTATGAACGCTGTAAAAGGTACCCGATAAAGCAATAAATAAAAAATAGTTTAATTTTTTTTTCATTTTCAACTTTTAGGTGAATATATTTTCAATGCTATTGGAAAAACTCTACTCTAAGTTATTGATAAATACTGTAGTTACCTTAAGAAGCAAACAAAACATTATTAACGTACTTAATAAGTCTAAGTTTAAGCCACAGTGCTTTTAAGTTTTTATTTATCTCACATTTGCAAAATACCGGAGGATTTTACTGATTTCTAAGCGTATATACATATATTAATTCTATTAAGAATAAAAACTAACCAACTCCTCGTAACTGCGAATATTAATGTTAAAAACCAGAACAAGGTTCATGCACTCGAAATGTTCACTTGAACAGGCTTATATTTCCCGCATTGCATAGTCGAAAGCCCTCCATCGTTTTCGCGGTGTTGACTTCTGTAAATGATACGACCTCGCCTCTCGACATAATCATAATACCCTCCACTGCATCCAGCAACCCTTCTACATCCATAAACCGGCAACAAATCTTTGCGACCGGTTCGGCATCTTTATATACGAAGCGGGGCGATCCCTTAACCCAGCGTAATGGGCAGGTTTACTGAACGGACCGTCGTAAAGTGTCCCGTCCACGTCGCGCTGTACACGCCTCGATGTGCCCCGGTAAGCTACCCTTCGAAATTTCACGAACTATTTCCCCGCACTAGCCCTCGCTCGGCTTTTTTGTCGTGACTTTATTGTCCGGATTTTCCGCTCACCTTTATCGTTATTGTGTCCGCTCGGCTTCATAAAGGACTGCGGTGCGCTATTAAGACCTCATAACCGTGGGAAAATGCTCTGCGACCTCTCAAGGCCGCCTTCTGGCCTTTTAAGTTTTGTTCGTGCGATAAAAACGTTCGCTTCTCCCGCGCTTCCGTTACGAACGGTGGGATCTCGCGATGAATTCTTCTGGCTTATCGAGTGGAATGTAATGGGCGTGTTAATTGATTGGGTGCCAGGCGTTTGGTTTGTTTGCCCGCTTTAGGGAACGAGTCTGCTGGGCAGGCATTGCCCCAGTGATAATTGCCGGAGCGCCGGACTCCGCATAAATTCGGGCAATCGGTGTGGAATTGAACGTGAGGACGCTTTGCATCCCGTGTGAGCAGCAACGTGACGCTCTCGATTCTAGATGGGGCACCCCGTTTTCAGCGATGACGTTTTCTATTTGTTATGATCAAACTTAAAATATGACACGTTTAACGTGCTTCAATTGTTTTTGAATGAACTAAATCAATACAAAACCAAATGCTGATTGTTGCCTAAAATTAAAATTATGCTAAAAGAGACAGGCGTAGAACCTTACAATAACGCAAATTGAATCTCCAAAAAAATAACGTACTGTGCAAAATAAACACGAATTTGCATAGTCACCGTACGATCAACGTATCTTTTGTACGTCTTGTTGTAGCACTTTTGCGACAATCGTGTATCGAAATATGTCGGCCACCGCACGTTTTTAGATCTTTGTAAGGGCCCATTTGTGCGCGCCCAGTGCATACATTCCCCGCAGAGATAAACGCATACGATTACGCGGCGGCTCCACAGGTGGCGTATAACATTTTTCAGCCCCGCACGGACGGCCCGCTCACGACCGGTCGAGGCGTGCCCGGCTTAATTTCAGGCCATTCGTTCGACGATTTCAGTGGTCCGTTTATATCGACGATATCGACGGGAAATCGAGGTGCTGTTTTACCGTTGAATGTAAATTTTGCCCGCCCGAATGCCTAACAGGCGGGAAAAATTATGGAGAATTCATTACGTTCATATTCCAATTGAATTTATTAAGCGTCTTAATATTTATAATAAATTACATCTTTACGTGTATCAATTTAGTATTTATATAAATCCATATTATATAAATCAACGGCGATCATAGCTTTGCAATGCTTTTGAACGTAAAAAAGTATTTCCCCTGTCAATCCCACTTACCGCGATACTAATGCACGGCAAGGAGGGGCCTGGAAATAATTATTACCCGCTTGACAAATTGCCGGTAAAGCCTACGTGTCGCCGGGGCAATTTGATACAATTTTCACCGCCTTTCCACGTACGGGCCGAAAATTTGCATATATGCGGGGCGAGCTTATGCAAATATTTTTTACGTACTGTTTGCCCACCCCACAGGAAGAGGAAACACTTTGGGCGAGCGTTTTAAAAAGATTTACGCCCTTTGTCGGATCATTAACTGCGGAACTAATTTGCTTACCTTTGAAATGTGTTAAGGTCGCGCACCGGATAATTACTGGAGGGTAAACATCCCGTGGCGTGATATGCAGATTTTCACCCGTCCGCTTTTTGCTTTTCTAAGCCCCGCTCAGTTGTCTCTTCGCGGGAAGGTATTTTGACGATATTACCCATCGCACGACTGTTACCTTTAGGAATTTCCGAAATCATTGCTGATGTATGCAAAGAGCACTAATAAAAATTGATGTCGAGGTGGAGATCCTCATTTGGGTGGGGATTTTTTTAATTTGCACAACAAGGGCGTAACTTCTCAGCGATATTGAGCATGTGGGAATCGTCGAAATTAAATTTTCTTTGTTTTTCTTTCTTAGTCTGTGGGCCCGGGGCGTTATTAAATTTCCTTGTGTTTTTTAACACAGGCGTATCATTAGATTGAGGGCTTCCGTCAAGAGGAAATTGTGGCGGCCGAGGGGAGAGAGCTGAGCGCCTAAACATATTGAAAAAATAAAAATCCTGGCTACTTACGGACTATATTTGGAAGGCAGGTTGCTCTACTACAATCAACCAATATATCTGTTCAATTCTATCTTTTCTATTACTACATATAATAAAAGTCAAAACTAAAATTATTCTCCGATGAAATCATAAGGTACTCACTATGTGAGTTAAGAAATACAGAAAGGTTTTCATAGCATTTCGGCCGTAAGAAGCTTTAAAATCTCAAAGGATTATTCGCGGCCGCGTTGCATTAAGCTGAAACCGCAAACGTTCTAAGTGGAGATACTTTCCGACTGAGCCCCACCGCGCGTAGCCGGGGAAGACGTTTGAAGTGGTTTCGTGAAATGAGTATCGCCGCGACAGAATTCCACCGTTAGGTTTGGAAATTTCACCTTAAATATACATATTACATTACGTGAAATTGCCCATTTTTTCCACTCTCCACCCCAGCAATTAGGGTGGGCCGTGTATAAATATTGCACGGCCCTCATTAATGTGCTTGTTCGTTAAAGGACCTGTATATTTTTACGGTGCGCTTTTTGAACGGCGTCTGCAAGGAGCCGCGCCGTGGGATGTAATGAATAATTAAGACATGTTGCGGTTGTACTGCCATCTCCCCCGGGATGTTTCCTTTCCTCAAGGTTACGAGTAAGTAATGGCTGCGATCAGACGAATAGATATCATGGCGGGTAAATAAATAATTTTATAATAACATGGGTAAATTCAAAACGTGATTTCAATGTAACGTCAAACAGAGAAATTTAAGTTCGATTTTTTTAATGATAGACGGGAAACGCATATTTCAATCTTTCATGACCAGCTTCCAGTTCCCTTACTCGGTGTAGCGATATGTTTAAAAAAATCAATTTGCCCTGATTTTCACTTTCACTTTTTTTTTCAATACTTTCGTCGCTTCTAATAACTATGAGCTTTCTAATGAGAGTGTAATATAGGTAATGAGATTTGTGTTTACGACAATGACTCAAAATTATATACCTATACTCGTCCATGCCTTGAGGTTAATAAGTCTTTTCTTGGATTGTTTCAAATCGATATAATTAGAACCATTTGTTGTTAGTAAGTATAGTCAGCAAAACAGATTTTCTCCCAAATTTTTATAAATTTTGAAGTTAACTAACTTCTTCTTCTCATGGTGGACTGTTTTTATTATAAAGTTACATACACTAAATACTGACCTTGGTCTGTTGGCGACGGCATTCTGTGTCTTAGTGAGGCCTGAAACAAAAACAGAAAGAATATTAAAATACAATTTCTTAAAATGAAACATGGCGTCTCCAAGAACAATACTTAATTAAAAATGACACTTATTAAAATTCATTAATCAGTGCCCGAAAAATACAAATGGAACTTCGGTCGAAATTAAAATATGAAACGTTTGAATGACAAAAAGCCTCCATCCGAGATTGCATTTCGACAATTAACGCATTAAGACTGCTCCCGCCAATAAAGAGCAACTCTCTCTTAATTAACAGTCCCTGTTAAAAATTGAGTACAAATTCAAGTAGCGAGTCTCCCCAGTTGGGGCGGGATCTAGTGAATGGCCTGTAATATTTTAGTTTGCTTGAAACAAAAACGTCTCCAACCCGAGGGGCCGAGAGCCGAGTGGCTGTCACGTAGACACAATAAGCCTTTTAATTCGATTCGTCAAGACGGACGAACTAGACAAAGGCCCCGAGTTATCATTCAATGGGGCACTCTTACCTTTTCTTATAACTCCGTCTCGGCTTTCTTTCGTGTTAAACGTGAGTGCACATGGGATTATTACTCTTTGGTCTAGAGATATGAGATATTTACAACTTTATTGTCTTTATGACATTTAATTATACCAGATATGTCAAATAATAGTAATTGATTTTTACTTTCGTGACTAAAATGTTTTAATTATTGTGTTTTACATTTCAGTATGACCTGTTGTGACCTGCTTCTGGTTCGTTATGCTGATGAACTATGGCCACTGTACATTAAATATATGTATGTCTATTCTATCGTATCAATACGAGACTAAAAATAAATCATAAATCATAATTTTTATTGGATACACAAGATTAGATCTCTTACAAAGCTAAGATTAATTAAAGTTCAATTTTATTATAAATTAACGTATTTATCTCGTGATGACTTATGTCTGTTGAACATGTCATTTAATTGAATCAACAGTCAAACAAACAAAAAACAACGAGGAAAATATTGTTACCCATTTAATTTCTTCGAGAAGGGCCACAAAACTCTGTTAAAAATAACATCTAGTTTCAATATGTATAGCGCCACTCCAAATGATTGTGCGATATATTGTCGGATTTCCAGTCTCGTGTGCGTCCGTACCTTGGAGTGCACTTGATCCCGTGCGTCGCCGTGACCCGACTGCCGATTTACAGCTAACTGCTTTATTTGTTGCCACCACTCTTTAAAGGCGACCAAATATATTGGTCACATATTGTTTAAATCGTTTCGAGGATAAATAATCCTTCATCGGCTCAGATTTATGTATTTTCTATATGATAATGCATTAATAAGCTTTAATGTACTCTAGCAAATTGTACGATTTTGTTAGTATTTTATACGTTAACACGTAATTGCTGTAATACATCATGTATTTAGAAACACAAATCTGGTTCGGTTATAAAATAAAATTATATTAACTTAGTTTATTAACCTGTTTAAAAGATATTGAGAAATGTTTTTGTAACAATGGAAATCTTTCGATACCTTTAAATAAAATTTACTATTCATCTAGTATGTATAAAAATAAAATTGTATACATATTTTTTGGAGTAATACACAAAAAATTTTGTAATCAAGATACGTTAATGCCACTTACTTCAATCTGGAACGAATCTCATTTAATTAAGCGACAGCTATTAGTTCGCGCTCCGGCCTCACTGCTTACAATTTTCTTAATTTCCTTTAATTTGTAAAACCATCAAACAGGCAAAATAACTGCAGCGCCGAACCGTTTGTAGCTTCAAAGCGAGGGTTGTAATTTCACGAAAAAATATTTATATTCGCTGCTATTTCCTAATTTTTATTTAATTGATTTCCTAACACTGTCAGTAGTAGTTGTTACTGTAGGTGTTTTATTTCGTATACTGTTGCTTTTAGTGTACCGTTTTAAGTATATTAGAGCCTCGAAACAAGCAATTATTTTTATTTATGTGGTTTTAAATAAAATCTTAACACATTTTTACAGAAATATAAAGAGCGTAGAAAAATGTGTGCAGATCTCAGAGTGCAGTTAATTTGCGTCATCACAAATAATAATATTTACAATAGTCATGGCCTCTTTATTTTAATCTTGAGTTTTGTTTCTTAACGAAACTCACGTAGATACGAACGCAGAACTGTTTAATTACACTAATGGAGTGCGAATGTTAATTGCAACAGGGATTCGCGGAGGCTCCGTATATTAACTAAAATTAAGACGAATGATGCATGAGCAATCTGCTTTATACTTGTTACAATAAAAGACATATTTCTTTATAAAATAGAAATCTCGCATCTCCTCATTTTCTCAATTTATTTGATCTAGGGTCGAGCCTAGGGTAGTTAAAATGTAAAAGATCTGAAATGTGAACGCATCTATGTTGTGATTTTTTTTATATGTGAAGGTGGCAAGCTAAGTGGCGGTTCACCTGACGTTAAGTGATAACCACCCCCCACGGACAATTGCAACACCCGTAGAGTTGCCGATGCATTGCCACCTGTTAATAAAGTGAGCTCCGGTTACAAGACGAAACGCGGAAGTGTAACATTCGTGCAACCTCGAAGACTGTAGCCCTACCACAGACGGTTTCGTAATCCCAGATCGCTAGTCAAATTTGAAACCAGTTTACTGCACAATTTATTATCGTTATAAAAGTAATATTTTGTAATTATATATGTATGTAAAACATAGATGAATTCACGTCGTTATTGTGGGAATCAATCACTAATATGATGATGTTTTCATTGATATTTACCTGGTAAAATCTAACAGTGATAAAATGCAATCTTTTGACTGATCTTCAATTTTGAGTTCAGTACTTTATTCAGTTCCAATTTGTGTCAATATTTTTTTACATAAGCAATTTCGTACTTTGAAATTGTTTCCAGTTCGATAACACTTTATAAAAATGGGAATTATGAAAGCATGAATGCGTCGTTCATCATAGTCCTATTAAATGGCCATTAAATCACGCTAATTGCGCTTCCGTGGCGTTTTGTTTTTATTTGCGGTCCGTTTTTTGTTTCTCGCAAAGGCAACGCTTTGACTGGAATTCCTTTATTTGCGTCGCAAACAGCCTGTTTACTAACAGCGGCCAACGACAAAGGCTATTCAGAAATTATAATGCCGATAAATTACAAAGAAATGAGCGAAAAAATGCTTCACTGAAAAGCGATTTTTTTTATATGTATATTTTAAATATGAGTAAAGGATGGGCTTTGGAAATGGGTTGGACATGCTTATGGGCATAAAATTGTTAGAGTTTATAATGTTGGGTGATTTTTAGGGAAAAACATAAAAACGGAGAAAATCGTTTTCTACGTACATCTTTACGATAAAACAAAAAAAATACATAGATATATTTAATTTGCCACTCTTTGTGAATGATACCTTGTATGTTTCATTACGTAACCATCATAAGAGACGTAAAATCTTTATGAATCGTGGTAGGGCCACGGAACAGTTTCCTCTGTTCCACGAATGCATAGGTTCGTCCGGGTAAGTACCACGACCTCACAGAAGACAGGCGACAAGTGGAAGTGTTATGTTTCTGCGTTTTTTCTGGTAAGTGAGGTAGCTGGTATTGGTACTGGTACTTTATGAAAAAGTGGCAACGTATACAAGGGCGGCGGTTAACATCAGGTGCTCGCCGCCAGTTCATCCATCTTCTCACATAAAAAAAAAATTTCAGGTCACAAATATACAGCGTAAATTTTTACACAAATTGTATGCTTTTAGTAGAAAGTTATTCATTGTCATTTTATTTCA